TCAAACTGTATGGGATTTGTCTGTCGATTGCAATAAGGTCAGAAGTCATACTCACTCATTTCGCTCAGGTTTTTTTAGCACTACGAACTGCAATTCGAACAAGCACAAAAATCGCAATTTATTTAAATAAATAGTGCATTGATTGAAAAGGAAATTGCGACAGAAAAGTAGACAATATGAGCGAATTCACTGAAAGGTCACTACTACAAGTGGACTGACTAAGTTTCTAGTAAGCAATTACTGCTTCATCGTTCATTATCGATTGCTTAGTCGTTGTTGAAATTAAAATGCAAAATGTAGCAGTATCGATTACTTCCGGCTCTGCATTACTCTGCAATCTGTGTGTGTGTGTGTGTGCGTGTGCGTGTGTGTGTGTGCGTGTATGGTTGTGTGTACACACACTCTTGCTTGTGTATTTGTGTTTGCTCATGTGTGTGCATATTATCTGCGTGTATTATAAACGTTTGATATGCTAATATGAATGGTCAATGATTATTTCCTATCGTAGAAATTTTCGAATTAATGCTCACTACTATGAAATCAAATAGCGTGAGGTCAAAGATCATAAGATATCGATCAAATAACTAAAATTATACAATCAGTCAATAGCAATCATTTGACTGATATTTGCTACGTGTTTACATTTTATGTTTTGTTCAAGAATGTGATCATTTTTGTCTGTTATTAAAGCAAAATGATGATGTTGAAGTATCTTTTATTTGCTCTTTCAGTCATTAGCCAAGCAGTCATCTTCTGAAAAGCTATTTTATGCTATGCCTTACAAATTATTTTTATGATTTCTTCAACTTTGACCTCAAATTATAAATGAAATTCTTTTTTGTATACTCAAATATTAATTTAATAGTCTGCTCAGTTATTATTTTTGCAGTAATTATTATTTTTCAAAACTTACAGTTACTTACTTGCTTATATAAGATGCTCACTTACTTTGCTCTTTAATACTTTCTTTCTCTTTACATGTGCACTTATTAATTAATATTCATTTACATTTTTAAGTATTTTTTGTGCAAAACATTTTTAATAAATGTAATTCGCTCTAAACTGCTTGTTTTTTGCTTTTGTAAAGCATAGAATGTCACCAACCTCCATTTTGCAATTTTTTCAAAATAATTTTTCTGCAAGAAAACGAAAACGTATCGCAAATGTATTACGTAGCACACATCAAATTCGATGCAACAGAAAGAGTGTAAATACTCAAAAGTTATTTTCGTCCTCACAAATTATCTTCACTTGCGATCTGCCCCTAGCTTAGTTTTCTTTTTGCTACACTTAACAAGCACTTACTGCATCATTAAGCGCGTCGTTTATTACTTTCTAACGCTGAAATGACGTTTCCGACGTCTTTTCTTCCACTTCCTCTTCATTTTCTTGTTTTTCCAAAGAACTGATATATATTTGGAGTGCGAAATCAAAATGCTAACAGATTTAAATTAATTCAGATATTTTTGTCATCAGAAATTAGTTATGCGTAAAATTAAAATTTTGTTTAGACCTATAAATCTGCAATATTCAATTGATTTTATGCACTGATTTTGTTTATATTCTTGATAAAATCATATTAAGTTATCAGTTTATCAAGTTATTAATTTATCAAGTTTGTCAGTACTTCTGTGCAAAAGTGTTGTTTTAAACTACCAATTTTATCGCAATTATGTGATTCTTTTTTCCCATCACTTCACACCTTATCAGTACTTCATATTTGTCCATCCTCAAATGCTAAATTACTTCCTTATTTGCTTTGCATACTTAATTATCCATTCCAAAATTTCACTTAAAAAATTAATCTTTTATTTTGTCTTTATAAAAGCGATAATTTATTATTCATCATTAAAGTAATGGATTGAGAAGAATTTTAAAATAATTGGCTTTCTTGATATTTTAATTTAAATTTATCCAAATAACTTTTTTTTTGCTTGATTATTATTTTTGTGCTCACACAAAGAATTCAATTTTCAGTTTATTTTTCGATGACTTATTTGGATATTCACAAGGCCAGACCGAAATTGAGTTTAATTAAATTATCTCATAATAAATTATAAAATAATTTAATTAAACTCAATTTTGATTCTTTTGGAGCATTCAATTTATTTTAAAGTTTTTGTGCTAGCTTATTAAATTAAATTTGTTGTATGATTTGAAGGTTTTTTTTTCAACAATAGCTTTGTTTTGTAGCGTGTTCGAATTATTCTTTAAGTATTGATATAATATTCAGTAATTAATTTTAATATGTTTAGCTATGAAAATATTGAAACTATTCGATTACAAATATCTTAGCGAACGACAAATTAAGGGCTTCGATAAATATAAAGTATTCATTTTAGAATTTGTTTTCATTTTTTTAGCTAATATTTTTCAGTCTTTATTTTTAGGTTTTTGAAAAGATTCTGCAAGTACTTAATTTAATTATTTTTCAGTATTGCTGCGTAGATTCAAGTCCTTTATCAAACTATGTTTCTCATCCATTCTGGAATTGGATAGTAGAAGTAAGAAATTGCTATACATATCAAATATTAAACTTTTTCAAAATTTTAAACTAATGTGCTTTTTTGCTGTACTTATTTAACAGTTTTATTGTCGACTGCAACAAGTATGAACTTTATTACTGAACTGTATCATTTTTCGATTCGATTTTTTGTGTAATTATGTTAAGTCTATTTAAATTTGATTTGCATAGTTTTATCCGAAATGGTTGGCACCAAATGTGATAACTTTGATTGGATTTGCATTTGTGATGGTTGCATTTTTGGTTGTATCATTCTACGATTTTCATTTACAAGCTAATTCAAATTTTTTCACCGAAGATTCCGGGAAAGTTACATTTCATTTATCTTTTATCTACTAACTGAAATATGCAGCCATCTTTTGTATTTTTATGCACATTTTTAAATTTCTAGTGCAAAAAAATTAATGGTATGCTTTTCCTATGCAAACTATTGCTTGAAATTCATTTTAATTTATTCTGTCAATTAATAGATTGCTGTTTAAAATTTCATGAAATTAAAAGATGGAATTAGAAATAAGTGTTAAAATATTGTGCTAGAAAGCAGATCGTTTACTAATCAAAATTCAAGTGAATTTTTTGTTTTGTTTTCAGTTGTATTTAAAATATACTGAATGGTTTTAGAATGTGTTCCTAATTGGATTTGGTTGTTATGTTCAATATGTACATTTCTTGGACATACCTTAGATGGTACTGATGGTAAACAAGCACGTCGTGTAGGAGCATCCGGTCCTACTGGTGAACTTTGTAAGTTATCATCGAGAAAATTCATACTTAAACTTTCTTTCTTGAAATGAAACTGTAAGAATGTTTCAATCAGTGAGTTTTTATTCCAAAAAATTTACAAATTTTATCAAAGTAAATTATGAACTATTGGTTATTACAGTCAATTAATTAGTATCGAATATTTAATTATAGCTATCTAAAAATTTAGCATGCTATTTTGTGTGTTTCTAAAATCGTATTTTGAACTAGAGAAACAAACTTGAAATTTTTCAGTTGATCATGGTCTGGATTCCTGGTCTACAGTACCATTCACAGTAACGATTTTTTCAATTTTCGGACGAGGTGAATTCAGGTTGGTAACACCTGCTATTAATTTATTAAATAATCATTTAGGAAAGTGAGACAAATTACGTTGATGAAGCAAAATTTTCAACAACTAACAACGTCAATTTTTAGTTAATTAGTTGTCTTTAGAAAAGTAATTTTTAAAAATTCAAATAACAATAGTTCTTCAAACTTCAGAATTCGATAAATTTTGAGGGATATTTTCAGTGTGCCTCCATTTCGACTTCTTTTGGTTTTAATTAGTGTTCAAGTAGTATTTATAGTATCGCACTGGGAGAAATATAATACTGGAATTTTATACCTGTCATGGACCTATGATCTCAGTCAATTTGTTAGCTATTTTTGTTTTTTTGTAAAATAAATATGGCATGATTTAAATTTACTTACTTTTAGATATCCATATTGTACTTGAATTCTAAAATCTGCATATTTAACTTCCTACTCTTACAAATATTTTTAACTTGATTATTTTTTGACAACAAACAAAAAACAACAAAAATTAATGCTTTATCTCATTTTGTTTCTCTTTCAAATATTTCAGGGACTGACAATATTTTACTTATTTACATTCTTCAAAGGCCACGATTATTTTAAATTTTATGTTTTCGATGGTTTCACTCTCGCGCACTGTTTTGAAATTGGTTTCTATGGTAATTTTTTGATTTGATTCGTGTGAATAAAATTTTTTTATCCGACATTTATTCTGAAAGTTTGTGAAAATGTGCAAAAGAAGTGAATAGAATAAGTCATTTTATTAGCAAACGTTTTTTGCCTTGATTTCTTGTTCGACCAGAATATACTTTGCTTCCTACAACTTTATGTCGATTATTATAATTTCGATTAATTATGCTATAATTCAAGTATTTCGTTTTATATTGGAATTAGTATTTTAAACTTGATGATTTCAAATTCTGTGATTATTTATTGTATTCATTTCAGCATGTTGCATTATTTCACTAATAGTATCAATTTGGAATATTTATTTTGCATATTTCGTAGATTGTACTGGAAAACAGGTAGCCTTCTTGATTATTAAATGCAATATTTTTGGTTATGATGTCTAAAAAATTGTTTTTTAAAATCTTACCTCCTTGTTTTAAAATATTATTATAATTTCCGTTTTACAATTTTGATTAAAAACTATTTCAGGATACTTTTATAGAAATATGCTTACCTCTATTTTCATCTCTGAGTTTATTTTTCATTTCGATTTTTTGGGCTCTGTATTCTCCCGGAAATATTATTGAACTTGATCTTCGATTTTATCTCTTTATTATGGGAACTGTTTTCTCAAATATTGCTGTAAGTATAATAAATATATTAACCCATGTAACTATTATTTTAATCAGAATGTTAGAGTTTTTAATTATTGGACCAGATATATTGGTCAGTTTTGTATTTTTTTAGTGTTCCTTTGAGAGTTACTTTTTTTTTTTAATATTACCATGCATTAATGAACGTTTTTGAATTTAAGTGTCGATTAATAATTGCGCAAATGTCTAATACACGTGCGGAAATATTCAATTTGTGTCTAGCCGTGTATGCGTTAACTGCAGTAATATCTTTGTCAGGTTTACTAACGGTTTATCAAGAACTCATATTACTACGGTCCATAACAGTCATCATAACATTAGCTCATTTACATTTCGGAATTTGTGTGGTGAGAAATTAATTTATTCGATTTTCGTTATTTTCAAAATATGGTATTATAAATTAGTTGATTTATATTTTCGGAAAAAACTGTAGTAGAAAGCTTGCAATCATCAAAAATAAACTAAATTCTATTGAAATTTTATTTTACTTAATATTTTACTGTACTTTTTGGTATTAGAGCTGATAATTCAAATGCTTAAAGTTTGCCAATTATAGTTATGATTGAGACCATCATGATTGTGTGTAGTAAAGAAGGGAATATCAGGATTTTGTATGTCATGTTATTTTTCGTATTTTCTCGCAACAAATTATTTATTATTTTTAGGTTCGTCAACTATGTGAACACTTTAAAATTTGTGCTTTATCATTGCAATATTTACAACTCTCAGCGAAAAAAATGCAATAATAACCATTGCTACAATTACGTTCATGTCATATGCATCAATCAGTGATCCCAAATTATTATTTTTTAATAATTTTTGATGTGTTTTGATTTCTTGAAATTTTGTCCTAAGCTACTTGTTTAGATTACTGGCAAATGATAATTTGCTTGCTGCAATTTTTAATTTGTTTTCTATTACTACTTTATGTTGTGTCAGAAAACAACTGATTTACGTATCAATTATTTAAATTTAAAGGCAATATTTGCGAGTTGAAATGTAAAATAGTTTTAAAAATTACTTTTGATTTACTGTGTATTTCTAAAAATTATCAAAATTTCAAATTTTTCAATTGCGCAAATGTTTGAGTACAAAATCCTCTTCAAATCATATTTATCGATACTTCCAAGGCATGAATATATCTTCATTTTTCCATAATTGTAAATGAAGTTTTATTGGATGAAAATTTGTTTATTATTATTAAGGTTCTATTCTTTTAATCAGTCCTGTTGGTATATGCTGTTTCAATTATCATGCTTTGTAATTTTAAACATTTCCAAATCAGTCATCTAAATCCGGTCATTTTTTATTAAAACTTTTTATTCATAAATTATTTAAATATATTGAAAAAAATTGCTTTGACAAACAATTTTTGGAAGTATTAATACCTCAGAGCATTGGCAAAAATATTATTGTTTAAATTTTTGGATGTCTGTAATCGTAATAAGGTATTGCTTTTTTTGCGCGATTTAATACAAAATTTTAATAAAAATGATTCTTCTAGCACAAATTGCTAGCGTAAATAAATTATAAACAAATTGAGTTTACTATCTGAATTACATCTTTGATAATTCTGTGCTTTATTCTCAGATTTTTTTGAGTGAAAGTTTCGGCGATTCTTCACTTTTAGTGATAATTATGCCTGACAATGATTACTAATCACATAAGAAGTGGAGAAAAAAAAATTATCAAATGTCAGTGATTAAAATCAAGCTAAATTATGACTTATTCACAAAATTGTGATATGCGAGTAAATTTGGCACAATATGGATATAGCCTATCCACCATCAAGAAGTCGTTTGTGAGATAGATAATTTGATCTGCAGTGATAAGAGCAAATCAAGTTATTCAACAATTCTTAATCTAAAAATTGAATATAAACTTTTTGCTTTTTATCTTTGATCAATTTTTGTGCTCAGTTTTGATCTTTCTTTGGTAAAAAGATTAGAATTAAAAAAGATGTTTAGAAGAAGAATTCAAGCAGAGGTATTGTAAATTTATTTTATATATAAACTCCTTTGAATATTCAGATAATTTTTTTAGCAATGTAAACCAATGATTAGGTTTTTTATCAAAGTTCTCGAAATGGCTAAGCATAATTAATCTCATTAAGAAATATGGCATCTAACTCAAATTAGCAGCATAATTTTTGCCAATTAACAGTTCACGTTTTTTTGTCATTTTTTGTTTTTCATACGCTTTACTGAATACAACTTAATAAGTATTAAGTATTTTGAACATTTTTTCCAATGTTTTTTACTAGAACGAAAAATATTTCATGCAGATAAAAAATTAATTATCGCAGCATAGCAAAAAACAATTAGTAATTCAATTTTAACCTTTTGTTTACCTATGCTCCAGTATGCACATGCATGGTTGTGAATGAAGACTTATTTTGATTTGAACTTAAAATTTTGCAAAAGTTAGACAAAGTTAAAATTTATTTTTATCAATTGTGAAGTACACAGCTCAATTATGAAGTTATTAATATGTAATGAAAGTAAGTATTAATACGTAATGAAAGTAAGTATTAAGTAAATAAGTAAATAAATATGCAATGATTTGCTCACAATTTTTTACTAATTCTTTGGGTATTTTGCTCTAATATTTGCATAACTTCAATTTAAGCTCAAATTTCGGACTAATTTCTTTTTTTTTTGTTTCTTACTTTTGCATAATAATTGGTAACTGTTAAATACAGTTGCAATAAGCTTGTCTGTTTGCATTTTATATTTAATGAAACCTGCGAGAATAGCCCTTTTCGAATTTTTTAATAATCTTTCTATAAATATGCACTGTATTTTTTATGCGTCATAGCTTTTTACTGATTAAAATATATCCCAAATGAAATTACAACAACTACATTGATAATTATGTTCACTGCTGAATAAAAATATTCTACAGAACAATAAGTATTGGTATTACTTTTTATAATATGCATAAATAGTTTTTTAAAAAAATAATAATAATAATAATAGCCACTGTGTGTAATTAATTAGAAGTTTTAATGTTGTTCAGTTTAATATTTCAGTTTAGTGTTCACACTTGCT